GACCCCCTGCCTGTTGTCGAAGAATTTTTATCAGACAGAGCGCGTATGGTAATGCCAGAGGTCCGTCAACTCTATTCTCGGAGAATGCGCGAAGGATATTTCTTAGACAAAAAGTATGAGTCTTCAGATACTCCAGCCGCTCTTGAAGTACAGGCTCTGAGATGAAAACTATGAAAGCCAAGGGTACATCTTCGTCTTCATCGCCGTGACATACCTATTTAGAATTAGCATTGGCGGTGTCAATTTCCATTGTTATTCCATACATCACCACGGATATCCGGATAGTAGCGATCAGCTTTGTCAATCAAGTACGGGCCATCGCTGGGACTGACACCAATGGTGGGATTGTCCTTGCATACGTTAGCTGAGCTCTCCTTAAGTAGGTGAAGAATAGCAGACTCACCATGGCAAGAGATTCCGTCGAAGCGTGGATCCCACTTTGTAAATCCACGGAACGTAGACAGGAGGAAGTTGGGTCCTTATATGGCAATGGGTGTGAGCTGGAGACACCGTGGTTTTTGGCCGTTTCCCTTCTAAAACCTTTATGCTGTCTCTTTACAAAACTGGACGCCCCCTGGCTGGGGTCAACGAATTTGTAGAGTATTTCATTCTGGGCACCATCGCAGTGCAAACCCCTTTTTATGCAGCTGCGACAGGCAGGTGCTGCTTCATCACATTTGACATGCCTTGCTTTGCAGGTCGAACAACCAGTGAAATTTCTATCATGGTATCTTCGTTGGCGGGTTGAACATGTGGTTGACTGTCTCGCGCCCAGGGAATTGGGCTCCTGAAATTTTTTAGCACAGAGAGAATGAACAGGTGGTGTGGAACTCACCATCTCTGCAAGCTAAAATCTGCGGGGCTGGCTTGTGGAAACTATTCTAAGGGGATTTCAATGGAGGCAAGAACCGCTTCTTATCACCTTTGGAATGTTAAGAGCAGATATTCTTCGCTTCGCCCAGCCGGAGCTGATATTTGCATGGCCCCTCGACTACCCAGTAAAGAGTGAAGCTATCTTTCTCCCTCCCAGCCGCTCTCAGTGAACCAAGACACACAAAGGGTAGCCATAATTAGCTGTGTATTTGTTGTCGGCAGGTAGCGGACCTAACCTATTGCAATATACATTCTACATCTTGAAATATTGTAACTGGCTTGAAAGCTGATAGGGTCAAATTCTCAAGGAGCTTTTTATTAAGGCATTCTGTGTATTTAAACTGTCGGAAAAATGGTTGATCCGAAAACCACCGAAAATGTACCCAGCAAGGTGAACTTTTTTGCAAAACTAGACGTCATCTGAGTAACGGAAGCATGTTGGGCAATACTCATGCCCACATGCGCATTTGTTGACCGCCGAGCCAGTTCCTTCGCAGTAGCAGCACTTGATGGCTCGATTAACCCAGGTCTCCCGTTTTTCTCTCTCTCTTTCCAGTTTCAGCGCCAGTTCAGGATAAGGCAACATATAGAGCACAGATGCTGTTTCTGTTTCCGGGTCCTCATCGATCTCGATAGCTTGGCTAAGATGGGTCGCCGGGACTGCGCTTGTTTGGTTGTTTGTCTGAGCATCATGACGTCTATTCGCTTGGTTCGGTTCGTGTGATCGGTCAACAGATCTTTCCCTACGCAGTGTCCTTTCGTGCAAACATTCCGGACACGATGTATGGCCACATTGTCGACATTCCCCCCCACCGCTAACATCCTCCTCACATCTGCAGCAGAAGAGTCTCAGACGTCGTCGAACTGCTTTTCGAACATATCCTTGCCTGGTTTGGCTTTTTCCCCGTATTTTGTTCAATAGATCATGGGCCGTGATTTGGTCGTCATTTTGATCCTGAGATCTGTCGGTTCTTTTGTTGGGTTCTGCATTTTCTCGCATCGCCCGGGTGCTTGCTCTTTTCCGTATTTTCGGGTCCGAGGTCAAATCTTTGTCCATCTCTGAAAAGGCGTTAGCTACACAATGAAAAGAACATTCTAAGAGAACCATATACCTCTCAAAACCAGAATCACTTTGCTTGCTGCCGTGCCTAAAGTAACTGTTTGTGTACTTAACTATACCTTCGCCAGGCCATGCAGGCAAAGAATATCGTATTAGCTCTGAAGAAATTGTGCTTGAGTCTTTAGCTTTAATATCTTTCTGGGGTGATAAGCCCGTCAAACAGGATACTTACAGGTTCGCCTGTTTTGTGAAGTAGAAGCATCCAGCCGCACGACAAGCTTCTCAGTATGGGTATTTTATTTAGACGGAAATAGCTAAAACTATTCAACGTGGCCAGGGAAAAGTCAAATAAAAACACACCGAGCGATGGTGAACTGTAAAAGGGAACTGAGAAACTATATCGGCGTCCATGGATCAGTGCAATCTGTACCCTAGCCGGTACGATTGAATCGCAGCTTCCCCGTCGCTACAAGCAGTCAATTCATCATATCGCAGGTCCCGCCGATAGTCCCCCTCAGACCCCTCAGACCCCTCGCATAATACAGTAAAGATACCCGTCTCCAGGATCGGCCGGTCCGGATAGTAAATTGAGGCCACCGCCCTAATTTTCTGGAAATTACTGTTAGACCATCCAGCAGAAACAGGGGAGGGTGACGTACCAGATGTGCTGATTCAGGGCGAGCCGTCCGAACCTCGTCTAGTCGTGTATAGCTTTCCTCGGTCATGAAAGGGAGGCGAGCAGAACGACTTTCTTGGTGGGGGCTGAGCTGGCCTAAATCGGATGTGTCGTCTGTGAAGTTCGCTAACGGCACTGCGTTTCCTGGTTCAAGAGACTGAGCGGAGATATTTCGAGCCATATAGGCACCAATAGTGATAATCAACATCACCTGGGAGCTATGTCAGCACATGTTGGAGCGAGAGCTGTGGTTTCACTGAACTTACTTCGATCCAGAAGGGCCAGTCGTGGACGAGTCCGCCTGCAGCAAACCCTGCCGTTATGAAAACAAGAAATGCATGGATTGTAATCTCACGGATTACAGGGCCCTGAGATGGTATACCGCGAATTCCGCGCCAAAAAAGCAGACCAGCAATCGCGAGTACCGTGTAGTCGATAGACACGATTACAGCTGTACCTTTCACCGACGCCTCGTAGGCGACCGAGCTAACTCAATGAGCACAAGCCTATCAAGACTGGGGGGGAGAGCACACCATAAGATCAACCCGAGCTTTACCGCAGGGGACAGAAAACAATACCCTAAAAATAATCGATGCAGGAGGGCGTTCGTAAGTGGTCCGGCCTGGATTTTGCTCAGCCGAATCATCTAGACATCGCGATTAGCGAGGACCAAAGCAGGGGACTGGGAATAACGTACCTCAAGGGCTAGCGGAAATGCTGTACATATTCCCAAGGGATAGTAAAATGCTGGCGTATCTGAAACAAGCCTTTAGCATTTATCCAACCATCTCAGTAGAAGGGACTACTCACCCCCGCGCCTTAAGCCTGATAGACCAATGCCAATGACAACAGCATTGACGCAGATAAAGAGAACGAAGATTGATATCTCAGGCAAACGGTGAGGCTGGGGGCGGTGAACGGTAAGCAAGATGAGATGCACCATACTTAGCACGATGAGTGCCGCCGACAGAAGCGCATACGGGATGTTAGGATACATTTTTCATAAAAAGGCAGCCAAGTTGGTCCATTTTGAAATGATCTGTCGCGGAGTGATGTGGTTTATATCTCTCGGGCAGCCACTCTCTGTGCGCCTTGATTGGGGCTTTTTCGATGGTCAAGGGGGTATGCCATCCTCATTTCAGCAAATGTTGGACGGCAAAAACTTGTCCAGGGCCCGTACAAACACTATTGTTAATGTGTTGCATCAGAGTTATGGCTTTCAAATAAGTAAAGTCGTTAATCCTGTCCTCATTAGGCAAATGGCGGTCCAAAGGGCTAAATTTCGAGCTCAATATCACCTTTGTCGGGATTTTAGGCCATCCAGGCGCAGCTGCTCCTATCATAAAGACAGGGATGGAAACTATCACCAGCTATGGCCCTCAACAAAGAGATCAATTTTCTAGGTAGCAACCTGTATCTGCTGTGAATGGCTTAGCCGATGAGTAGCAATAGGAGACTTCACGCTTAAGCGCCATGAACTAGATGCAATCACAGTTTAGTAGCTTGGCTGGCCACTCGGTTCCAATGAAATACGTGTCACATTTAGTGTTCGTTCAGCCGTCCGGTTGTGCGGGGGATTCCTAAAGTGGAATGGTTTCCGTAGTCCGCCAGAAACCCCAAGCCAAGCTAGAGATCAACTACTTGACTGACCGCTTCTAACTCCTGTCTATCTCTTCATCATTCAGGATGGATTTCAAGCTGAGTCTTATTGCTGCTTTGGCACATTTCAATCCTTCTGATGTTCTTCAATCACTGGTAAGAATCCTCAGATAATTGCTAGCTCATAGCTAATAGAGAGTAGGAACTTTACCATGGCTTTAGTTGCTTCTTCGCCCAAGAAGGTGGTCTGGTTCTTTTGCAACATCTGTGCTCCTCTCTTTCTTCTTCACATCAAATATTTTCTTCCCACAGCACTCGAGCTATCTCCCAACCCACTACGCTGCTTGCCAATTCTCAACCTGCTTCTGCTCCTTCCACTCCTTCTACTCCCGCTTCTCCTCCTCCTAATCCTCGTCCTCCATCTCTTGCTCCTCGTCAGCCCAAAAACAAGAGAAGTGGAAAAAGGGAGCACCGAAAGAGGCTCCATGAAGCAGTCCAAACTTCCCCCGACGAGCTAAAGAATAGCATGATGAAAACAGCTGAGACCTACTTTAAAGATAAAACGACCTTGGTTGACATCTCAGTGCATCTGATCAACAGTCAACCTCTCGAAGAAACTATTCACGACGGCTTGTGGAAACGAAGTGTTGATATATTCGCAAATACTGATTCCAAAGCATCTCGAGTGCGCCGCCTTGAGGAAGGTCGAGCTGTATTACAAACAGAGCGCTCTACAAATGACTATGCCAAGCGATTGAGCATGCTGCTGTCCCGTATTGAAATTGATGAGATGACTCTTTCAGTTCCAGATAATGAGTGCCGGCAGGGTGTCGGCAAAACGACAATAGCCTATGAAAAGTATGCAAAGGAAGCTCATGTGGATTCTAAGTATGTATCAAAAACTAGATCTCGGAGCCGCAACTATGCTCGTCTTGTAACCAAAAGTGGTCCTGGAATTTTGGCATGTTTGGATGGACAAGATTCAAAAACGTGAGTGAGCATCATGATCCACCATTAATATCTCTACTAATATTTCTCTAGGTGGGAGAGGTGCTCTGTAGATGTTGACCTGCTGCTTGAGTTTGTGAAAGATAAGTATCCTGAACGGGAGAAGATCTTTCACCGCCATGACCGAATATGCGCAAAGGCGATCCTCAGTGGGCTTAGAGCTTGTGGATGGGAGGACGACCAGATTTTGCAGAGCAAGGGAGAAATGTTGACGGCCATGAGAAAATATTTCATTAAGCTCGTGCAGGGAGAGACGAACAAAGAGTACGACGAGCCCAGCAGCAAACGGCCATGTCGCGGCTTACAGGCACATATGCCTAGAGTTAATTCATTAGGAGGTATGTTTTTGGTACAGGACTGTCTGGAAATATTTAACAATCTCCTTAGACCTGGGTCCTCATATAAACTCACACAGCAACACTCCAATGCAAGTTCTCGCTGCTGCTGCAACTTCGGAAACCCAACGCGACAGAACGCACATCGCACATCAGGTTGTTGATACAATTCAATCCTTACCTTCCGCAAACTCGCAGTCCGCACCTACAGAACTCAATCATACAACGAATTCAAGGGCTGCCGTGGAGGATTTGGCTATCCCAGCTGAGACACTGCTGTCGACTGTATCCCCGCAGCCTCGCTTGAATGGCCTGACCGAATCAAACGGTATGATCTGCTGGAGCGCGATTGACAAACAACACTAACACCCAGCCTAGACTCCGGTCCAGCAATCACTTACGAGAGGCCGCAAGCGATCAGCAATCCCTCCGATTATTTCCCCGACCTAACTGACACCTGCTCAGACTACGCAAGGCCGCAAGCGATCAGCAATCCCTCCGATTATTTCCCCGACCTAACTGACACCTGCTCAGACTATGCAAGGCCGCAAGCAACGGCATGGGCGGCAACAGGCGACTTCCTGGATTTGAGGGCTACCAATATGGCGCCAACAATCGCCAACAACTGCTTTGGCACTGGGAATATCTGTGTAACAGGATCATATTCAGAATTTTCCTCTTTATCTGCGACATTGCCTCAATCTTCAAATTCATAATTCATCCCGATCTTTTCAGTTTCCATTGCTTTGACTTTCTGCCTCAGATACGCATTGTTTGGAAGCTTTATTCTCCCCCATCGAGCGAGCTCCTCTTTGTTTGCAAATGCTAGCGTAATCGCACGACCTTGAATATTGAAGCTAAGACGAGCATCTAATACTACTCTAGAAATATGCATCAGCCTCATGTGTATTGAACGGATAGTCGCATTTATACTTACAAACCTCCATCTTTCATGTCTTTCTGAATTTCTTCAATATCCGGCGTTTTGAGCAGTTCTCGTTGAACCTCTAATAACCCGTTCGAAGCCGCCTTGGGTTTCAAAGGTGTATGGTGAGATCTTTTGTAAAGGGTAATCTTTGATCCAGTTCCTAGCAGTTGAACGACTATTACTTGAAGCTTTGGCTCTCGAGGGTCTGCCATGCAGTACGCATGTTGCGGGAAATAGCGGAACGTCATGTGAAGCGCGAGAGCAGACCATGAAAAGAAAGACTCAACAGCTTGACGAACATGCTGCATATTTCTCTCAGTGAATGTCATTAACAAGTAATCTGGGTCGCGTACCTTCTCATCCAGCGCGTTGATCTTGCAAAAATCCAATCCCTCAAGAGTTCTGAAGGGGTATTGTTTAGCAGCAAATTCATCAACCCTTCTACCGATAGCAGAATCTGCTATTGAAAAGAAGCCTTCAGTTTCAATGGATGTAACCAAGTCTTCTGCTTGCAGCGGGTTTGAAGACGCCATCGTCGATAAACAAGATTATTTATTTTTTTTTTAATATTTTTTTTTAGTTGGCCGATTGGGTTGATGGCTTGCAAACAGATGGGCGAGCTTTTATCACAAACGCTCTTGGTGCCTCGTGACCATGAAGTGGGGTAAAGTGGCATGGGCTGGTGAAATGATTTTCGTGCAAAACCATACATCGACACTGTAAAAGCGTCCACAACAATTGCCAGCTCACTCATTATAACAATCACAAATATTTTTCGCCAACTAAATCCTGAAAGGTCCATTAACGCAAACGCAAAATAGAAAATCCGTAGAATGTCCCTAAAAAAACCGACATGTTGAGCACGTTCACTCCCCACCCGCCGTCCAAACCTCCCACGTCATTGATTTCAGCCATACGGCGCAATGTGTTTGCCCCTCAGCATATTTGCGCATACGGTTCTCATGGGTTGCCGTAACTATGAATCATGACATCATAAAGGACACCAGGTGAGCTTGCTTTGTTGAAGGCGACTTCCCCAATTGTAGAGACAAATTAGTCAAGGGCGAAGTGGAACGTAAAGGCGACTGTTCATTTTCCCGTTTGACGATGATATAACCCGGGGGATTGGCCATGGGTGTCTTCTGTTCCGTCTTCGTTCGCTTTGAAGCAATGGTTCTGCCTTCACCTGTTTGACGCTTGGACATCTTACCCCTCACTCAATGTGGCATTTGTGTATCGTGGACGCTCGGATCAATATTTTCCCGGGGCCTTTTTGGTACCATAGGAGAAAATAAAAATATTTCTTCTCGGGGGCGTCTCCCCCTCTATATACGGGGAATAATTCCGAAATGGACTACCTACCGAAAAATCCATCCTGGCTAAATACTACCTCATAACTTGACGACATGGCTAACTCTTAGAACATAATACATTTGGCGACAATGGATCAACGGTCCAGCCATAGAATCCCTTATATGACTAGCGATGTTTACAAAATTTGACCAACTTCCATCAATTATTGGACTACAACAGAAAATCAAATGAAGGCCGGTCCTGCGTATACAATCGCCACAGACATAGAAGCCGGGGAGATCCGTAGAAACGGGCCTCACGCGGTGGGACCAAAGAATAAATACAAGCCATCAGCATATCCCGGAACCGTAACTATCGTCCGATTAGCCCTGCTAAGCAAGACATACATCAAACGCTGCGGTATCTAACCCCAATCGTACGGCTATTATTGGTATTAAGCCTCGGCGGTGATAATCACGCCATCCGTGTTTAATCTCCCGCTGAAGGACGACCCATCGTTGGGAGAGTATCTGCCTGGCTGCGGTTCCATTCTGTGGAATTTGGCAGATCACTTCCATATGTTTGGGATGCGGCGTCGAGTTCTGCAAAGGGAGGGAGCCGGACGGGACGTGAGCGTGACACTCGGGGAGGTTTTGACGCGGGTTGAGAGAATGAGAACGGAAGTGTCCTAGCTCGTCTCGCCATTTCTTGTTCTCCTAGCTGCCAGTGCATAGCTTCAACGGCCCTCCAGGGGATGGACATCTCCTCTGCAATTTTCGCCCACATTTCCGACTTGGATCTGCTTGCTCTGTCAGTAAGAGAGCTGGTTGTCATCAGATATCACGCCGTTTCCACCTTTCATATAATAAGGCTAACTTGGTCTTGCGATCCTCGCTCCACTCACTCCGCCTCTCAAGGTAATTCTGGTAGTGCAGGCGACAGCTGAGTGCACTTCGCCCTGGGAGTTCCTTGCTGATATCTCCCCATACCATTCCGCGCTGCCGAAGCTCGATGATCAGAACATCTTCTTCTGAGGACCATTTTGACCTTTTCTTGTCCGAAATTTGGCGTGCTTGGGGGCTATCGCTCTGGACGTCAGGTGCCATTGGTTCGTTTTGGGCTAAGTTTTGAATTGTAGGCGCCATAGTGAAAACTGCGGCATTTTACGAGGAGAAAAGGGAAGATCGAGCGAGGGAAACAAAGTGGGAGGAAGGCTGGCTTTATATGCCTTTATATGCCTTCAGACCTACGCTGCCCCCCCCAAGACAAATTGGGAGCAACCGCAAGTAGACCGCACCATTTTATGGGATTTGTTGGCTAATGAGATAGGGACTGATTTAGGCATCGTCTTTCAACGCTTCCTGTTGATGTTGCATCTAGGAAATGGGGTTTTAC